TAGAAGCAAATATCCATACATGTGAAAAAGGCTGCAAAAGAAGCAAGATTCAACATTTATATTAGTAAGTATTAGGAACAAGTGTTCATAAGAATCCAGTCCGTGTTGCTTTAGCCACACCTGTGAACAGGTATCCATCACATCAACAGGTAGTCAGCTGACAGAATGACACACCTGGTGGTTCATGTGAGCGAGGTGACCTGCAGTGGAGTCAGATTTACAGCCGGAGTTATTGTTTCTGCAAATGATGACCTCCTTCAGAGGCAGAGTTTCTAAACATCAGCTGGTGTGTCTGCAGCCGACCAAACTCATGTTTAAACAGATGAGGAGGTCAGTGCTGGTGTTTCCCACCGTGACCTGAGCAACCACAGTCTGATTGTGATCACGCTGCCTTCCACACAGCAGAGCAAAGTTTGTTAGGAAGTCTGCATGTGATCGTCATCCTGTCTAAAGTCAGGCCTCCAGATAACAAAAATATGACAACATGTAAACAGGTTTATTTTATTTTTAATGCAATGTTTTGTTTTGTTTGTTGGTACATTTAATTATTGATCTCATATTTCTCTAGTACACGGTCAGTTAGCCAATTATCTCTTTGATCAGAAGCTATGTTTGTACTGCAGTTATTAAACTTGTGTTTCTGAGGTGGTGAGAATCTGTCGTGTGTCGAGACAGTCGCACTGTGTTGGTTTCAACTTTGAATGCTCTTGTTCAGCAGCGACAGCTCGCAGCCTCGTCGCTGAGGAGGGAAGCTGTGCTTTATCTTCAGAGAGGCACCACTGATCCACAAGCTGCTCCCAGAAACTTGATAAATATGGGCTCAAGTCTAAAGCCATTGCTTCCTCAGAAAGATGGCCCCTCAGCCCCCAGTGCCAGCAGAACGCAGAGGGCAGAGACGTTCAGATGTTTTGCGAAGGATTTCCTTCAGCTCCCCATGAGCTCCTGCAAAGTTTCTTGTGATGTGTTGAGCTAAGCATCGCATCCATAATTGATGAATCATGTAGGACATTGTCTCGACAGCCTCGCATCCTGTCCTTGTTCCAGGAGGAGAGCGTAATCGTCATCAATCTTCTCCGTTCCATCGTCTTTTTTTTTCTTCTTCTTGTGTTCGTGATGATCTAAGTCGGAGCTTTTGTAAACTTTGCAACAGGCAGCACATCCGCAGAATCATGCGGCTTGATTAATAATGATAACCATATGGAACATTCTGCACCTCGCGATTCCGATGCAGGCGATTCCTGATCTCAAACAGAATTGAAAACGAGATAATGAAGGCTTATATAAGCCGCCATATGTCTGAGGCAGACACTCGGAGACTTGAAACTTTCCAACACTTCCAGACCTGAGAGTCGAACGGCGGCGCGTGCTTCCTGTCGTACCTGCTCAACAACATGTGTACGCGTCCACACGTGCTCACTTCCTGTGGGACGCCTCCCTGATCCGCAACAGTGGGAGTCGTCACGGGAGGCCGAGGTAAAGAGGAGGTGAGGGATGAGGGAGGGGAGTGCTGTCAGCGGCGAGGGTGGGGGAGGACACGGGGATCATGTCGCAACACCGAGGGGAGTGTGTGAGGGAGATAAAGAGAGGATGAACATGATCAGAAGGGATAAAGCTCGGTGGAGTCCTTGGCGGTATCTCCCTCAGTCAGACAAGACAAGCCTCTACGTGCACGCGTCACGTGCACGTAACTCAGAGGTGACACTTTTCTTCTCCTGCACCTTCTTAAATCCGTTTTTTTTTTTTTTTTTTTCCCAGCCTTAAAACCGGGTGCCGCTGCATTCTCTGTAGCCAAGAACAACAGTCCTGCATAACCAAGGCAGACACATTATTAAATCTACAATGCATGTTATGCAGCGGGGGTCATAAATATTGCAGCAGGCTTGTATGAATAGATATCAGTGACATTCGTTTTAGCCGAGCTGACAGAGCTGCTCAGAACATCCCACTCTTTCTTCAGGGCATCTGTTTGTCTTCAGGGCATCTGTTTAAACCTGAGAAGTGCTTGTTTTTGTGGATTGTCTGACAGCCCCTCAACTTGTTTTTCTTTACAATGCAGTGTATACCTCAGTGACTGAGTTTAAGGCGGATTTTTCTTTACATTTCTGTTTGTAATTCATCCAAAATGATCCTAAAAAAAACCTGCTCTGTGTCTTCCAGTTGAGTTCGATGACTGTGCGGGGAACGAGGACGTGGCCTTCGACGTGTCGGATCCCAGCTTCGGCGTGGACGGGGATCTGAACCTGGTTCCTCGGCAGGACGTGGCGTACAGCGCGCCGGTCCTGTTCGTCCACGGGGTCAGCGCGCACGCCGACGACATGGCGCAGGTGGACGTCACCGGACTGCCGCTTCCGTCGGCGCACACGCTCAGGGTGAGTGGAAACGGGCGGCGTGTATGTTTTCTTTATCAGTCGTTCTTCATTTATACTTCATCAAAATCAAAAAGGTCACACTTCATTAAACTGTGAAAAGGTCAGAGTGGGCATTATGTAACCGTGATTAAATATCAATGCCCCTGGGTAAGCAGGAAGTAGAGCTTTTTTTTAAGTTTGATGATTCTAAGAAAATGTTTATTGGCTTTCTTGTTAAGCACCAAATGAGAAAATGACAGAATGTATGTGTTAGAAATGTTTGTCGAAAGCTACGGCTGATGTAGCTTGTTGGCTAGTTTAGTCACCGGAAACAGAAAGTAGCAGCGAGCCTGGCTGCGTTTAAAGGTAAAGAAGTCCACCTAGTAGCACCTCTGCAGCTCCTAATCACCACATAATAAATACAACGTGTTTGTTTAGCTTGTGTAGAAGCCAGATAGGAAACAAGTCTTGGCTGCAGCGCTGCATCTGGTCACGGTTTGGGAGGATATTACAGCGTAAAGAAACAGGAGGGAAAGCTGGACATGGAACTAAAGAGCCACTTCTCAGGGTGCCCATGTGGTCCGTAACCCCGACACGGTGACTTTTAAACACTGTTTTCTGTGTGGATTACACAAATGGTTGATGGGTGACCTTTAGAAGGGCTGCGTTTTGTTGACCTTGCACAAAGCTACACGAGCTGTTTCACCCTGTCGCCAGCCTTCGCTCTAAGCTAAGCTAAACTGGCTGCAGCCGCGGAAAAGAGTCCGGCAGCGCCTTTATTAACCAGACAGTTGATCACCATAGCAACGGCAGACCAGGAAAAGCACTCGCTCTGTCACTGTGTCGGAGATTTCACCGAAGTAAACCTGCTTTGTGCACAGGTGACATAAAGCGAGCGGACTGCTCGGTCAGCTTCTGCTGAGGTTGAGGAAGTAGTTGAAGTGAAGTTCGCCTGCACTCCCTCCGCCCTACGAGTGTCCTTGATCGCTTTTTTATCTCCCAAAATGTTAAAACAGTTCCTTTAAATGACAAGAAAAGATGGAGAACCAGAGTGTTTTCTTGGAGACGTAAACTCAGGCATTCACAGCGCATTCATACGTCGGTGATCTTAATTGCAAATTAAAAACATTAGAACCCAAAATCCATCAAACGTTCGGAGGCATCTGTTGTCAGTCACATTCATGCATATGTTGATGAATTTTAATCACTTAGAAATGTGAAGCACGCTCGTGCGACCTTAATTATCATCAATTAACATAATTGCACCACCTCAGAGATGCCATATTAAGCAGTGGGGAAACACCCACATCCATATTTTCTGTTAAACCAAATGGATCTTAAAAGGAAGTTTAAAAAAAAAAAAAGGAACTGAGCTGATGCAGATATTAAAGTCAGTCACTGGGCTTCCTGTTAGAGTTTCTGCTCTTAGACAAGCATCACATTCTCAGGAAAAGAGGCCAAACACAGAGATAGTGACTGATGAAAATCATGTAAACGCTGATTTTATTTACTTAAGTGAAGAAAGTCTAAACTACTGTTCAGTTCAGTTTCCATCACTGTTGCTTCGGCAACAACGGCTGAACCCGGCGCTAAATCTGTCCACAGGTCAGCAAACATAACATATGATGATCGACAGTTTACATTATTAACCGAGATTCTAAAAATGTTTAAAGGTCAGAAAAACTTTTGAATGTCACAGAAAACGGCTTCACGTAAGCTTTGAGTAAATGTGCTGCAACAATAATAGATGAGAGCGGATAGAGCTCGGCTGGATGTTTCTCTGTATCTGTGTGTTTTACTTATTAATTGTGCATGAAGCCACTCGGAGGGACACGGCAAAGTACAACAGCTCTAATGTTTCAGCGTATGAAGAATTGCGCTGGCCACTTCCAATTATGTGGGCCCGTTGCCAGTAAGCCTGCGCCCCACTGCTGAGCTTTGTTTCTCTGCAAATGTGTCCCTTTGTTTGTGTAATCTACAGAAATTTGTTTCTGCAGCCAGCAAATTGACTTCCTCACAAAACTCCAGTGCACCTGAACAAACACTATTGTCCCTCGTTCGTACACCTCTGTCCTCCCGCTGTTTTGTTCAAATAAGTTGATTTTTTAAAAAAAGGAAGTTTCTGGAGACTGCAGAGGTGTTGCCTTCCACCGTCTCCCAGATCATCTGTCTTCCCGGCGCAGAGCTCAGTGTCCTGCTGCTCCCGTTCCTCCAGCCCCGGGCTTAATGAATGCCTCCATCCCGTTCGGCATGATGTGGCTCTCATTTGTTTGTGTCTGCCACCATCGTTTATTTGGTTAGATAGTCCACGGGTGTTACCTTGGCAAGTCATTGAGGATATAAGTAAATTAGTCTTTGGCAAGTTATGTGTGGGAAGTGAAGTTCCCAGTGACTAATGCGACCATATGGTCCGTCCTCTGCATGAGTAAGTGTGTCTGCGCGCTTGTGGCTTCGCCTTCGATGAGACTCTGTTTTGTTTGTGGATCCCTTTCACATTTTGTTTTTGTATTTCTAGCAGGAGAATCACAGCTGAATTTAGGACCCAAATGATTCACACCCATGCCAAGTTTNACTTGAACTGGTGCCAAAGTTTAGATTCTGAAGGAATCATCGATGAAGTCTTGTTTCCACTCAGCTTCTAAACAAGTCTCACCTGCACTAGTTTATAAACGGTGGACGGTAAATACCTCCTGATATTAGCCACTATGTGCCTGCATCAATAATCACATGAGCTGGATGCCTGCATATCATCTCATTTCCTTCTGCAATTATCTCGATACATCGTAGGTCCAGCGTTATTCTGAGATGTTTGATTTGCAGGTAAACGGTTCGGATTCTAAGATTGACTCGTAACATCAGTTTAGCAACTGCAGCTACAAAACCCTTTGCAAGGACAGAAAACTGTCATTATGATTGTAAAATAGAAAACATGAAGCAAAAGAGAGACCAGCGGTTACGATTGTCTCGCTCTATGTTTGTCCTGGTAGCATCTATCTGTAGGAAACACACCTGAAGGATGTGGGAGGACACTGTAGTACCGTCACATGGACAAGGAGTTTATTAATAATACGATTATACTGTGTTTTTTTTTTTTTTTTTAAAACTTATTATGTCTTAAAGTATTATTACTCATGTGTTCATGTAAAAGCAGAATGTTGTGGTGACTTTAAACACCTGCAGCTCAAAGAATCTCAATCGAAAGTTGCTTAGATCCAGAATCGATGAGCAGAATCTGTATCAGATCTGATAAAGTACGAATGATGACCAACCCCATAAACACAACACTACAGTAACACACACTCATGCACAATATAGAAGCAAATATCCATACATGTGAAAAAGGCTGCAAAAGAAGCAAGATTCAACATTTATATTAGTAAGTATTAGGAACAAGTGTTCATAAGAATCCAGTCCGTGTTGCTTTAGCCACACCTGTGAACAGGTATCCATCACATCAACAGGTAGTCAGCTGACAGAATGACACACCTGGTGGTTCATGTGAGCGAGGTGACCTGCAGTGGAGTCAGATTTACAGCCGGAGTTATTGTTTCTGCAAATGATGACCTCCTTCAGAGGCAGAGTTTCTAAACATCAGCTGGTGTGTCTGCAGCCGACCAAACTCATGTTTAAACAGATGAGGAGGTCAGTGCTGGTGTTTCCCACCGTGACCTGAGCAACCACAGTCTGATTTCCTGCTTCACACGCTGCCTTCCACACAGCAGAGCAAAGTTTGTTAGGAAGTCTGCATGTGATCGTCATCCTGTCTAAAGTCAGGCCTCCAGATAACAAAAATATGACAACATGTAAACAGGTTTATTTTATTTTTAATGCAATGTTTTGTTTTGTTTGTTGGTACATTTAATTATTGATCTCATATTTCTCTAGTACACGGTCAGTTAGCCAATTATCTCTTTGATCAGAAGCTATGTTTGTACTGCAGTTATTAAACTTGTGTTTCTGAGGTGGTGAGAATCTGTCGTGTGTCGAGACAGTCGCACTGTGTTGGTTTCAACTTTGAATGCTCTTGTTCAGCAGCGACAGCTCGCAGCCTCGTCGCTGAGGAGGGAAGCTGTGCTTTATCTTCAGAGAGGCACCACTGATCCACAAGCTGCTCCCAGAAACTTGATAAATATGGGCTCAAGTCTAAAGCCATTGCTTCCTCAGAAAGATGGCCCCTCAGCCCCCAGTGCCAGCAGAACGCAGAGGGCAGAGACGTTCAGATGTTTTGCGAAGGATTTCCTTCAGCTCCCCATGAGCTCCTGCAAAGTTTCTTGTGATGTGTTGAGCTAAGCATCGCATCCATAATTGATGAATCATGTAGGACATTGTCTCGACAGCCTCGCATCCTGTCCTTGTTCCAGGAGGAGAGCGTAATCGTCATCAATCTTCTCCGTTC